TTATAGCTGCGACTGGATTCGATGACAGAGATAGCCTCAGCACTGATTCTAGTCACTGACGTGCACTCGAGTGCTTGGGTCAATGCCCACATGAGCGTGATAATGATGCTGATGATCATAATGGTGAAGATGATGATGATGATTATGATGATGATGATGATGATGATGATGATGCGGGATCCTCGTCGCTCTGGTCATCGTGCTCGTCGTGATTTGTATTTCTCGTTAACACCGTGGAGGCCGTGATGCCCGCCATGGTTCCAAACTTGCACTTCCTGATAGGGCATGCAAATGTTCATAGCGTGCAGGGTTCCCTTTGAAGAATTCCTTTGGGTTTTGGTGAGGAGATCGCAGGCAAGCCTGAACATCAAGTTGGACTCCCTTTGATTCATCGTAAGACTGTCCTTACCAAGGCCTTCCCTTATACCCTTGTGCACACGATGGACACCTGAACCCTATTCTAGTTGCAGACGTAGGTTGTCAGTAGATTCTTGTCTTCGCTACGTAGGTAGGTCCCCCTTTCATTCTAGATTAGTTCTAGCTATATCCAGTAGTTAGTTCCTGGGTCTGAGGTGTCCCTAAGTTGTGCATCCTTTGCAAGGGGGGCAATCTGTAATTCAAGCTGTATTCCTGACTTTAGGGATTTTCAGAACCCTCCGTGAAGTTTGCAAAGGGGTTGTCAGAGGGTTCTGCTATATGGGTAGTTCTCTAAATTAGGGTTCCTTGTAGGGTCCTTTTATAAGGGTGCCGTACTATATTGGGGATTCAGAAAGGGACCCTAGTTTGGAGAACTACCCATATGTAGACCTAGCTTGTAATTTATTATGATGCTTCTCATAAAGAGGACGCCCCGCCCCTTCCCCTATGCAAAAAGCCCCCGCTCTGTACACCCTTGTATGCGCCTCTGCCCTAAACCCTTGTAGAACCCCTTGAACTCTTTCAAAATGTAGGCGTCACATCACCTTGGATTCAGAGTTTAAGAGCTTGGCTGTTGGAGTGTAGAGAAAAGTATGCTGGGTTTAGGGCTTTACGAGGTTCAGGTTTTGGGGTTTTGAGGAATTCTAGAGGCTTTACAGAACTGAAAAGCTCTCTGTATTGAGGGGTCTATATTGGATTGTACCGAGTCTTGACCTTTGACAAAAGGTGCTCCTTTAAAATCCAGCTTGCCTGTGATGCTGTATATTTACAGGGGTTATCCCAAACGCACACTTGCTAGAGGGCCTCCAATAGCAGCCTAGCAGCCCAACACCTCTTACCCTAATATGAAGCCTCTTGTAACTTAAGGTATTTATGTGTCTGAATTCAGGGGTATGCGGCTTTCTGGGCAGAGGCCTTAAACCACAAACGCATAAGACGAAGAACGTGTGCGCCGGTCGGAGCTATTTCCAGCTCAGCTGTCAACGCTTAGCTTCCATGCAATCCCTGCGCATGTTGCGCGCAAGTCCCACGATAACCATCACTTCACCCACACTACACCATAAACCCTAAACCCTAAACCCTAAACCCTAAACCCTAAACCCTAAACCCTAAACCCTAAACCCAACCCTAAACCCTAAACCATAAACCCATGTAGCCCTAAACCCAAAAACCCTCAACCCGCTAAGCCAGAAGCCTTGCAGTCCAAGGCTGGAATCACGTTTTGCTCCACAGAATCCAGCTTACACGGTTTAGGGTTTAGGGTTTAGGGCTTAGGGCTTAGGGTTTAGGGTTTAGGGCTTAGGGTTTAGGGTTTAGGGCTTAGGGTTTAGGGTTTAGGCTTCGAGATGGACCCTACCTGCACCCTGAGCGTCCAAAGCACCCAACAAGTTGGGTACTGGGGTGTGGAATGCTGGTAGTGTTGGGTAGCGTGTTGGACAGTATCAGTATATGGGTCGTTCCGCGAATCAGGGTCCCTTTTAGGGTCCTTTCTATACGGGTGCCGTACTATATTGGGGACCTAAAAAAGGACCCGAATTTAGAGAACTGCCCATATGATATGGTTAATTATGAGGTAACTACTTGGACCTAAACCCTAAACCCTAAACCGCGCCGGCTACCCTCAACCCTGATCAGGCTCCGCAAACCAAATCCTAAACCCTGAACCCTAAGCCTTAAAGCCTAAACCCTGAGGGTGCTTTGTGCTGCGCTTAGGGTTTCGGGTTAAGGAGTTAGGATTTAGGGGTTTAGGGGTTTGGAGCTTAGTGGTTTAGGGTTCAGGGTTTAGGGGTTTAGGTTTGAGGGTTTAGGGCTTAGGGTTTAGGGTTCACGGTTTATTGTTTAGGTGCTGCGCCATGTTCAAGGACGCAGCAAGCAAGATCCGTAAACAACGCAGCGCAGCCGACGCCTTTGTTACTGCCACCGAAGGTGTTTCCTGGCTGGCTCTGGCGGGCTGAGGGTAACTATAGACTATAGAGGGTTGAACTATTTGGCAAAATTAGCCCTTTATCAAAGATGGGTTTGAGCATTTAGTGTTTCCACATGGCAGCTAGTCCACAGGATTCAAGACCTTCTTGTCAGTTTGGTTTCCAGAGAAGCTGGAAGTCGTTTTCAATTTTGACGACCTTTCATGACCAGCACCTGAATCCTTGTGATTCCTAAACCCTGCAATTCCCGAATTCAAACCCGAAATCTAAAACAGCCCAAAAACCCTGCACATTCCCTAAACCCTAAACCCTCAACCGTTCTGAGGCCGTAAACCCTAAACCCTAAACCCTCAACCGTTCCTAAACCCTAAACCCTAAACCCTAAATCCCTAAACCCTAAACCCTCAACCGTTCTGAGGCCGTAAACCCTAAACCCTAAACCCTAAACCCTCAACCGTTCTGAGGCCCTAAACCCTCAACCCTAAACCCTAAACCCTAAACCCTGAAACCCTAAACCCTAAACCCTCAACCGTTCTGAGGCCGTTTCACCCTAAACCCTAAACCCCAAACCCTAAACCCTAAACCCTAAACCGTTCTGAGGCCGTTTCACCCTAAACCCTAAACCCTAAAACCCTAAACCCTCAACCCTCAACCGTTCTGAGGCCGTAAACCCTAAACCCTAAACCCTGAACCCTCAACCGTTCTTAGGCCCTAAACCCTAAACCCTAAACCCTAAACCCTAAAACCCTAAACCCTAAACCCTCAACACTTCTGAGGCCGTTTCACCCTAAACCCTAAACCCTAAACCCCAAACCCTAAACCCTAAACCCTAAACCCTTCCGAGGCCGTTTCACCCTAAACCCTAAACCCCAAACCCTAAACCCTAAACCCTAAACTCTAAACCGTTCTGAGGCCGTTTCACCCTAAACCCTAAACCCTAAACCCCAAACCCTAAACCCTAAACCCTAAACCCTTCCGAGGCCGTTTCACCCTAAACCCTAAACCCCAAACCCTAAACCCTAAACCCTAAACTC